TGGCTACAGAATTTGCAAGATTCTGCATTTTCATCATCTCTCCAATATATCATACAACCCCTACTACATACATCAATCCTTACAACCGGAAGACCTAAGTTATCCACTAGCTTTTTCATATCATAAAAATCACTTTGCGTGATGTTATCACGAGGCAATGATTCCCGCATTACTTCAACAAAAGAGTTGAAGCAATCCGCAGACACATTATGCTCTGCCTTGATATTTAATAGTCGGGCTGTCACCGATAACTTAGTGTGGTCCTCACAACCTACCCATAAAGGTTCATTTGCTGCTTTCAACACATCCCAGAACTGATTAGATTGAAAAGTTTCATTATAGACATTCTCATCAAAACCCGTTACTCCTATATCTTCCAATTGTGAAGCATGACTAGTACCCACTTGTTCACGTGTAGGAGTAAAACTAGTACTTGCATGATTTGATTCTGTGACAAAATTATAACTAGCTGCATCAATCACCATCCTCTCGTATGGGTTCAATTGCTCATAATAGCCACATTCTTCCCTAACTGAAAATTGGTCACTTCTTCCATATCCTTCATCAGATATAAATGGTTCACCATGGGAAGTCCAATTATAATAGTTCGGACTAAACCCAAATCTAGTAAGGTGTTCTCTAACTTGATCACACACAAGAAATTTACCATTACCGCACTTTTTACACAGACACCTTAACTTATTTCCATCCATGAACTCATATTTACTACTAGCAAAGTCTAAAAATAGTTCCAACCCAAGATTTAAACTCATCTCGTCAATCCTTGACGTCCAGGTAAGTTCTTATTATACATCCAAGCCCTTTCTCTTTGCATTGTGTCTGTATTAAAATAAAAAATTCTGGTAAAATATTTAAAATATCATATCTATTGTTCTTAATTAAAACCATAAAATTTTGGAAATTATAATTTTTGTTATTTACGCAACAATTAATATGAAATTGCAAAAATAGAAAAAATTACCATGTAAAAAAGACTTACCCAAATATTTGACTGAAATATTGGTAGGAGAAAGTGGTCAATTTGATGAGAATTGCAACGTCCACTTGGATTGCGAGACCTTCAATTAGACACATACCCAAAAAGAATAATCACTCAAGAATCATTTTTTAATATTTTTTAATGTGCGATGGAAACGGAATTCATCCCTCGCAAATTTGCAACGAATCCTTGATTCCGTCGCAAATTTGCGACGGAATCAAGGAAATTCGTCGCAAAATTTGCGATGGATCCTTGATTCCGTCGCAAATTTGCGACGGAAAGTTAATTCTGTCGCAAATTTGCGACGGAATTTTCATTTATTCGTCGCAAATTTGCGACGGAAACTATTTCCGTCGCAAAACGGCGTGGCCGTTCGGCCTCATCCAAAGGCCGGCGAGGTGTCGCCGGTCGTTAAACCGGTGATGCAGATACGAAAAAAAACAAACATAAACATATATAAAATAAAAGAAATTACAATTCAACGATGAATAGTCACGAAGCTAGCTATGATACTTATCGGTACAAAAGCTTCACCGAGATTAATATGTGCGTGCGCGGATTTTGCTGATTTCAGACATATGAAAGAGGGAGAAAAGCGAGAGAGAGCGAGAGAGAGAGAGATAGGGTTGGAATATCACGGGCTGATAAACTACAAATTTGCGACGGACGTTCGTTTTCGTCGCAAATTTGCGACGGATTTGGCGACGGTTTTTTTTTTCCGTCGGAAATTTGCGACGAACTTTTTGCGACGGATTTATTTTCCGTTGCAAATTTGCGACGAACTTCTTTCCGTCGCAAATTTGCGACGGATTTTGCGACGGTTTTTTTTTCCGTCGGAAATTTGCGACGAACTTTTTTCCGTCGCAAATTTGCGACGGAATTAGCGACGGTTTTTTATTTCCGTCGCAAATTTGCGACGGATAAAAATTCCGTCGCAAATTTCTGACTGATTTTTCATCCGTCGCAAATTCTGTCGCAAATTTGCGACGGAAATAAACCGTCGCAAATTTGCGACGGAAAATATAATCCGTCGCAAATTTCGTCGTAAATTTCCGACGGAAAATTTCCGTCGCAAATTACATGTTTTTTTGTAGTGGTCACTTTCAAAGATTTTCAATTGGAGATCACCCAGAAGAGACCGCTAGAAACTATGGTAATGAGCCTCTAAAGGCAGCCCGCGTAAAGCAGGCGTCTGTCCAAGGAGTCATGTGAAGATGGAGATTGGTTGTGCGAATATGTCACCACCATCGAAATGTAGTCATCCATCCTGATAGAAGTCTGGACTCTCTGACATGGCCCCCATTTGGCAAGGATGAAGGGCTTTACCCAGCTTGTTGTGGAAGATACGTTACTCGATGAAACTTGTTATATCAGTTATTCACGTTCATCATGTTTACCGGTAGGCGATTGCTTGCGTCGATTGGGCTAGCAAATCACTGTCTTCATGGCAAGAGAGGAGACTCTGGATTTTAATGTGACCAGCGACCACTGTTGGATCTTTAGTTCTTTTCTATTAGCCGAGAGCGTTATGAAGACAAAGATTGGTTGTGTGAATCGCGGCATAAAAAGAGAATGGTGATAGGATCATATTAACCAATAAGCTAGTCTACTGAACGACTTTATACGTCAATTTTTGTAAATTGATCTCAATATATCCCGCATTGTTCTAATTAAGGGAAGAAGTTAAAAAGCAAGTGAAGGAAAAGATGACTCTGCAACGAGGTCCACCTTCAATTCCACACAGGCTAATTAGAAGGTCAATCCGGTTAGGTCACTTGAAAATGCAATGTATGTGGCTATAGTAAGGGTGGAAACAAACTAGTGGGTGTTGAAAATGGGGAAGAGCAGGTTGCTATACTTACTCTTGACTCCAAGTCTCTTTTTGATTTGCTTACTTTTCTTTTTTGCTTCCAATGCGTTTGATCTGGGCCAGTCTTGCCGGGACACAAATCCACGTGGACAGGATCAATTTTTTTTTTTGGGTCGATGGACAGATCAATTGAAGCAATTAATCATGCGGGCCCTAAGTGAATTCGACAGGCGCCCCCATAAAGATTAGGATAATTATCATTAAAAATCACAACCCGATATACTCATATCACATTTACCCCAAACTAATTATCATGTCACAAAAAACCTCAAATTAATACATCCGTGCCACAATCTAAACTGGTACACCAATACTATATTTACACCAAAATATTTTAAAATTTTCATACCACAAAAAATATCAAAATTAGCTTTATTAACCTGTTTCTTATCATTTCAATATTCGTAAAGTATTTTATTCCAAAATCCGACCTTATTATCATGTGTTTAAGTCTTTCTTTCTTTCTTTCTTTTTTCACCAGAAATGGAATCTGTTGCTTAATTCGATTTGAGAAAACTCTTGGAATGTTCGCAAATACCTCGTATCCTTGCCTGTTTGCTTCACTTCTCGCATCTCACGCTCAAATCGTTGACTTTTAACATGGTAGATTCAAAATTTTACTAGTTTAGGATATTTAGTGATAGTTTGCGATAAACATGACATAGATATATCGATTTAGGATTTTTAATGATATTAATTTTAAAAATTAATGGTTATAATTGCACACGATCTATTAGTCGGTATCTTTTTGACACGTCTTTTTTTCCTTTTAAAAAAGGCAATGCTGATGCTACCAGTAGAAGATTCTTCTCGAGATTCCAAACTACAAACTTGCCTGCCTCGGAAAAAATTAAAAGCGCGTGTATGATGCTTGTCCATCTATACAATTACAACATAAAAAGGACCAAAGAAAAAAAAAGGGAGGGTTGTCGCAGCACAACTTGCCTGCCAGCACAGTGTTCCCTATCAAGTCGTAGACAAACATGATTTCTTCTCCTGCAAAACTTCGTTTTTGACAGCTAAAAGCACGTGATTATGATAACGGCATTGTTCCTCTCAAGCATCTTTTGTCTGGCCAGCTTGGGGTTGATAGAGATGATGTTAACAAAGGTACCAAAAGAAAAAAAAGACAAAAAAACAAAAAGTATTACCTCCTTTCTTGGGAATCCGGATGTTTTCAAACTTCTTCGGCATGAAAGGAAAAATGATACAAATGATCAGTCAACTTTGATCTAATATACAATGTGATTCATGTGTGGTCTCTAAACTTTAGCCTAATGTGCAATTTGGTCCCTAAATTTTCAATTTGTTCAATGTAGTTCATAAACTTTTGATATATATTCAATCTACGGAAAATGTTCAATATTTTCCTTTAATTTGAATTAATGGAAGGATGATATTAAATATCTTCATATAGTTTAAGGATTAACTTGAACATGTACCAAAAGTCTAGAAACCACATTGAACAAATTAAAATTTTAGAGACCACATTGCTCATTGAACTAAAATTTAGAGACTATTTGTATTATTTATTCCCCCTGAAAACCCTCTAGGTGTTTGCGTATTATCCTAGTTTTGCTCTAGCATAACTGATAAACTAAAGGATCACATTATGATTAACACCGATCGATATATCGGGGAGTCTCGCGACACTATCTCAGTTTCGCCTGTTGCTTGCATGATATGGTAGACCTTTAAGAGTGAAATAGTTCCGTAGATCTCGTCTACCGTGGAATCGGTTAATCAGTACCTTCAAAATTGACAGATCCCGCATGATCTAAGACTACATTCCTAGATTTGCTCTAGTACTTCTCCTTTCCAAGGGGTATCAATAAGGACTTTGGTCCTTGCATTGGCTTATGCAGGTTCTTGGGGAAGATGTTCTTGATCTTTGGCAAAAGAGCAAGTATGACTAGTTTAATGATTTCGAAATATTGGAGGAAGAGATCTCAGGCATCCCCCAGAATAATCAAATAAGAAATCTCTGACAGCACACCATCATTAAGACACAAATACTGTTTTCAACACAACAAACTGTAAAGCAAAAGGAAGACCAAAAAGAAAGTTGGAAACAAGAAAAGCAGAATCTCCGAACTTTAGATCGTCTGTTGCCTCCTTTGCTTAAATTTTAGCAAGTTCCATAACGAAAGCTAATTTCATTTGTCTTCTTCCTTGAGTACAGACTTCGACCATGAAGAGACACCCTCGATCAGGACTCGAAATGCAGGATCAGCTCCTAGGTTTGCTAATAGCGCTCACTGCGTGTGCTGCTTCACTTGGAGCAGCAAATGTACATGGAATATGTACTCCCAAAGACCTGAAAGGACTGAGCGGTTTTAGGGCAGGCATTCGCTTCGATACTTCTGGAAGACTAGAGAAATGGGTTGGCCTCAAATGCTGTGAGTGGGAAGGCATCTCCTGCAATAATGCAACAGGCAGAGTCACGGAAATCCGTCTCCCGGGATTTATTTCCACAACGGACTTTGTGTACCAATCTGAGATGACAGGCTGGTTGTCTCCTTCCATAACACTCTTGAGGTCTCTCAAAGTCATTGATCTCGGTGGACTCATGAATCTCGCTGGAACGATCCCGCCTTCCATCGGCTTCCGTCTCCCAAAGTTGCGAAAGCTCTACCTGTACGGCAACCAAATAAGCGGTATGTTACCAGAAAGCATTGGTAAGCTCTGGCAGCTTGAAGAACTTTTGTTGTATGAGAATAAGCTATCTGGGTCACTCCCTCCGAGCCTAGGATATCTCAGAAATCTGAATTCTATGATTCTGTACTCAAATCAATTTTCTGGTACAGTACCCAGTTCTATTACAAACCTGACAGGGCTGGTTCATCTAGATCTCCATAACAATTCTTTTATTGGTGTCATCCCCGAAAAAATTGGTCAGTTGCACAATATGAAAGAGCTCGATCTTTCAACCAATTTCTTTGGAGGGAGAATTCCACTTTCCATTACTAACTTAACTGCCATTTTAGTCTTGTACTTGGACACAAACAATCTCGAGGGAGAAATCCCGAGCCCCTCGAGGTTAGATCAAATGCCTTCCCTCAGTTTCCTAAGACTCCACAATAACCAGCTAACTGGTGAAATCTCGCCCAATTTTGCCAATCTGATCTCTCTCCAGAGAGTTTCTCTCGCACATAACAGATTGAAGGGAAAAATTCCTTCAAGTCTGGGAGCTCTCTCTGCACTGACAGAGTTATATGTTGATGACAACCTTTTATCTGGCATGATACCCGAGTTAATGGGTCAGTTATCTCAGCTTTTGATTCTAAACATTTCAAACAATATGATCCAAGGACCATTGCCTCAGGAGATGTCTTCCCTCTTTAATCTTCAAATAATCAATCTTTCATTCAACGAATTTAATTTCTCCTCCATCCCTCAGTGGTTATTGCGATTGCCGTCTCTTTCCCGAATTTATATGGCGGGATGTGGAATTCAAGGAGAAATTCCAGAGTCCTTGAAAATAATGCCTAGTTCAATACAGGAGCTGGATTTGTCAGTCAATCACCTGACAGGGAATTTGCCATCTTGGCTTGGAACACTAACTCAGCTCTACTTGTTGAATCTCTCCAGAAATTCACTAGTTTCAGATGTTCCAGAATCAATTACGAAGTTGAATGCTTTGGGTGTCCTTGATCTCCACTCAAACAAGTTAACAGGCAACGTAGGTCAGGTGTTCAAAATGGAACACAGGTTTCCACAAGGTTCACTGACATATATTGATCTCTCTGATAATAGATTCACCGAAGGAATTGAACAGATAGGGATTGGAGAACAATGTGGAGTTCAGTTTCTAAATTTATCACACAACTATTTCTCGGGGAGACTACCGACAACTATAGGGACGTGTACATCCTTACAAAGCTTGGATTTGAGCGACAACAACTTGGGATTTAATCTGCCGGATGCTTTAGCAAATTTAAGCTCACTAGAGGTACTGAAGCTGCAAAGGAACCGGTTCACTGGCAGCATACCAGAAGGATTTTTGAACTTGAGTAAATTAAGGGACTTGAACTTGTCAGATAATCTTTTGGTGGGGCAAATTCCTGCTGGTAAACCTCTGACTGACTTCCCTGAGAGCTCGTTCACTGGAAACAGAGGATTGTGTGGGAAGCCCCTTAATCCATGTAAGCTTTGAGAATTTGTTTTCCATCTTTCTTCTTTCAGCAAGTAAAGCATTATAGAGAATGAGTACTCCACGTTTGAATCAGATCGCACATGAATATATACGTGTAATTGCTTTTATGTTAATCTGCACTAATTCTCAGAAGTCAGAACATTAAGTAGATAAGTTCTATTTCTCAGTCCATCACATGATGAACTCTATTTTCCTTTTTGTTTTCCTTCGTTACAACATATAATGAAAAACAAGAAGGATTTACAATTGAATCATGGGAGAAAACAGATCAGGAGGGTTACTAAAAAATAAGACTCTTATCTCCTTAGAACTGGTGATTTCCAAAAACTGAACATGTGCTCATGCATGCACAGAGCCACGGACATATTACTTGCACTTCCTCAGGAGAAGTGAGAAAGCAGTAAATAAGATGTGGATAGTAGCTCCACTCTTCGAAGTTTATGCCTCAGCCTCACATTATCAAACCATTCAAGCAATCTATGACATCCGGTCTTGCATTAGCCATTTGAATTCATATAGCTACTCAGGAATTCATTAGAACATTATAATATGAGATAACAATACAATACAAGAGGGAAAGGTTTAAGACTGTTAGGCCTTTTTGTCTTTATTTTTCTTTAGGACTGATTTTAACCAAGGAAACAACCAAAAACGCTCGAACTGAACAATTATACTTGATCATGTCATTTTTATGCATGTTACTGAGTATATTTCCACTATAGGATGTGGAAGTGGATTTCACAGTGAAAGCAATGTAAACTCTAGGTGCATGTGGAGTCTCAAGTATTCTATACATGAAATCAGGAGACAACAGTGTTTAAATAAACACAATGGTCAGATAGACATACCTGTTGAACATGGAGGTCGAGTTGAAATGTGCGAAACTGCAGTGGGCAAACACGGATATAATGAGGCTGGACACCGTGGGTTGATGCTCAAATATGCTGTATAAAACCTTATTCGTAGTACAAACATAGATCTAAATACAAACATTATACTCGAGACCCTCTCATCCCTGTTGATTAGAAGGGAAATTACCAGTTGCTCAGTAATCTATTCATCTTTAATTGCCATGGTGATCGGTTGAAGAGTAGCATCATCTCCATATTGTCTAATCACCACTGTAAGGGTGGCGATTTAGGTTGTACCCTAGATCCACTCATCCCTGTCAATGAGAAGTTACACTACCATTTGCTATAAGTCTTGAATATTCACTGTTAGGCATCTATTCATCTTCAATTGCTACAATGATCTGGTTGAAGAGTAGAACCAATTTCATGAGGACTTACTCGGTGTTGCTCATTACCTACTCACTGGACAATCGGCCAACACCACTGGAACATCTACTCTGATGTTCGGACTACAACGAAAAGGACAGACGAAATAGATAAAAAGAAAAAAGAGCAAGATAATTTCCTTTATGTTAAAAGGTATAGAGCAGATGGTTTTAACTACAAAAAATACAATTGGATACTGGATGTCTTTGTAATATGATAGATGACATAAATCAGTACAGTCACTAATAATCATCATCAAGTATTATAAGCGTCAACAGCACTTGTATTCACAGCCGACGGACAATTACCTGAGAACCTAAATTTTCAGAGTACAGACATAGTGGTTCAACTTATAGACATAAGCAAGGTTGAAGGAAGGAGAATTCTGAAGTTATCAAAGAGAGGTGCATAAGCTCAAACTGAAGTCGTCTGTCATATGGGTTGTGCCGCACCAAAGGTATTCCCACCTTGGTTCAAGCCACCCCCATTAGATTGGAAATACGAGACAGCTGCCCAGATCACCCGCAGGAGGAGGATCACCACAAATACAGAGCCACCAAGAGTGCAAGCCACCTGAAACCAGCACCAACACTAACATCGGCAGTTGAGGGTCAAAGCCAAAGGCTGTTCCTTCTAAAAGGTTGATCTAGTTATAGCCAATTTCATTTGCTATGCAGTGGCACAATGAGATGAAGTTGCAGCCACTCAATGATCGACTCTTACTCTGAAAATGCCCTCCACATTTTTCCTTATTATCTAACTTTCCAATGAACAAAGAGCCTATCGCTCTAGAACTGTCATTGGAGACCAATGCTCATATAAGGGCACAAACGGAAGAAATGTGGAGCGTATGACATACGTAATATAGACAGTCATCAGCCTAAACATTATAAGCGAGATACGGTCACCACAGACACGAGGTGAACCTCTTGAAGCCACTAAGTTATTCATATTTGCTGATAAAAAGTTTACTTAAGTACCTCAAGAAGTGCCTTCAAAATGGAAAGTGAAGCTAGCAGAAGAATCCCATCAACCGCAAAGGAAACCTGCAGTTCCCATCCAGAGAAGCATTAGAGAACTACAGTCAGTGTCAGTCAACAAAGGGTAAGCCCAAGGTATCAGCAAAATGCTCATTTTTAGAGGAATTATATCAAACAGGACATGAACGCCTCTCAGTATCGCCTCCTCCCAATCCTGTATAGACACTGCAAGACCAGGCAGATCAAGAAAGAGAGTTCACCAGCTGCGGCGGTATCGCGTCGGGCAAAACGGAGCGCGAAGCCTTCTTGGCTCGCCGGCCCGCCTTCTTGAACATGCTCTGCAAGAACCTGATGAGCAAATCGGCGCTGCTCTCCGCGTCCTCTTCGTCGTCGCTCTCGTCCTCCATCATCGGGCCGCCACCTTCGAAGAAGCCGTCGTCCAAGCCCTCCGCCGGCTCGCCGGCCGAGCCACGGAGGGAGGACCCGGGGCGGCGGACGCGGATCCCGGGTCCTCGGGCCGGGCCCCGAGGGAGGGCGCGGCAAGGGAAGGGGAGGGCCGAAGGAGGTGGCGCGAGCGGGGAGCGCGTGGGGCCGATGCTTGTTGGGTTGCTCACGACGCGTGCCGAAGAAACTGCGGCTCGTGTCGCCATGGAGGTGGTCATGGTTTTAGTGGGAGGAGATGGTGGTGATGGGGTTGGCCACACCCACCTCCGTTCTGAGCAGCGAAGCAGAGGACGCCATTTGAGCGCGGGTTAGATTACTAAATGGACGAGAACGGGGATGGCTTATGGTTGTCGTCTCAACCGCTAGACAGGCGGATTCGACAGCGGAACACCCAGCTCGACAATTTCTCTTTTTGAACACTAAGAAAGAACATGCGACACAAATGTTAAATCTGGAAAGTTTAGAGAGCGCGAATGATAATTATTATATTTTCAGAAATAATTTCTGTCTATTTCTAATCCTTGGTTTGAGTAGCATTCGATAATGATACAAAATTTCTGTTCTCGTATCAGAAATTCGTTTGATAGCATTCATGTAGAATTCGTATATCGGCGGGTGGGCGGTGAGAGAGACCTCTTAGAGGAATGATTATTTCTATTCTTGGAAAAGTAGAAATTTTATATTGTTATCAAACTCAATTTTTTACTTAGAAACTCGTTTAGGAAATAGAAATAAATTTTTCTATTTCTAGCCAGAAATAGGATCGGAGAAGAAAATGGTTATCATTCGTGCTCTTCTCATTCACACACTTAGTTCTTTCACCAAACCAGGTTAATCATGAAACCTCATTCAATATTTAGCCCTCTTTTTTCTCTCTTTTCTATCGCATGTTTGGTCAAGAAACTATGCCCAAGTTTTGATCTTTCCTTTCCCCGTGTTCTGTTTTTTGAGTGAGAAAGCAAGAGTTGTCCACACTTTTCTAGAGCAGTCATCAATAAATTTCACAAAATATAATGCACCATTAAGTGTTCTAGCATCCATGCAACAAATATCAATATGAACTAACTCCAGTACATCTAATTTCGTGTGTATAGAAGAACTATGAAATGAGAATTTATGCTGCTTACCTATTAGGCAATGACTACATTCCCTCTTATTTCTCTCTTTCAATGGTAGAAGATTTGTTCTATCAAGAGTTTCGAACCCCTTCTCGCTGAGATGACCAAGTCTCGTATGCCATAGGTCAATTGAGGAGTCCTCCACTGCATTTACCTCTCTCCTAAACAACTTGGCTTGCATGGTGTAAAGAGTGCATGTCTTTTGGCCCTTAGCCACTATTAGAGGTGTCGAAACCGAACCGAAAAATCGAACTGAGATACGAACCAAACTGAACTGAACTGAAAATTTCGTGCATTTCGGTTCGGTTTCAATTTCGGTTCGGATAATCAAAATTAACCAATTTTTTTTTTCAATTTGGTTTATTTCAGTTCGGTTCGGATCGAACCAAGCTGAAATAAACACTTCTGTTTTTACCCTAAAATCGAGCCATGAATAAAAAGCAAAAAAAAAAAAAAGAAGAAGAAGAAACCAAAAACTGATCCGAACCAAATCGGTTTATCGGTTCGGTTCCAATTCAGCTCAAGCGAGTTTTGGTTCAATTCAAGGGGGCACCCTTAACGGTTCGGTTCGGTTCGATTCGATTTTTCAAGAAAACCGAACCAAACGGAACCGTTTACACCTCTAGCCACTATCATGGAACATTTAGTCAATTTTATTTGCTATCATAGAAGGAATTGCAGTAACCATCATCATTTAAGGCACCCATGGAGATCAAGTGAAGTCGAATGTCTGAAACATGTCTCGCATTTTTCAAAAACAAATTACATCCACCATCGATCTCCAAATAAACATCTCCCATGTCGATAACTAGTGATGTTTCCCATTCTAACACAACCAAAATCACCGTTGCAAAAGGATGTAAAATAGTCACGTCGTGAGGTGACATGAAATGAAGCTGCTGAATACAACCCAGCTAGAGTCTTGGCATGTAAAGTTCACACAAGCATCGTCACGAATGAACGCAATATCACAACCAAATGCAATTGCTACTTGATCTCCATTTCTATCACAGGATTTATCTCTCTTTAGTAGCTAACATTCTTTAGGATAATGTCCCATCTTGCCACAATTATAACACTTCACACTTCTCCTCGGCCTTGATTTTGACCTTCCTCTTGGCTTGCCTATGTTATAATTACTTTGAAACTTTCTTGATTGACTTATCGCCTTGTTTTCTATAACAAGAGCCTCCGATTTAGAAACATAATTCTAGCATTTTCTCATTGTTTCTTTATTACAAACTTTCTTTAATCATGCTCATAGAAAGCACACCAAAAGGAGCTGAATTGTTTAACGCCGAAACTAAGGTGTGCCAACTTTCAGAAAAAGTACCAAGTAATAGACATGATTGCATTTTATCACCAAGGCCAATCTCAATATTTGTCAATTGATTTACAACATCTTGAAAAATTCACTCAAGTGTTCCAAGACATTACTTCCCTCATTGTATCTCAAGTTTTTTAACTGAAATGGCTTTATTTTGTGAGGTTCTCCTCTCATAAAGATCTTGTAATTTCTTCCACAAAGTATCGCTTTCATTTCTTGAGTCACATGATGAAACACACTTTCATCAATCCATTATCGAATAAACCCAACCGTTTTTTTATTCATTTAGCCTCATCACCATCAACGGGATTATACTAATCTTTGCAATATAACATATCTTCCATCCAAGACTTCCAAATAGTAATTCAAGGCATTTAGCTTAAAACCATGGTGCCACTAATTTCCTCCATTTGATACTAGAATCACAGCTCTGATACTACTTTGTTGGGGAGAATCAGGCAACAATTCGTCTAATTCAAGATCAATTTCTTCCCCAAAATTAAACCAACCAAAATCAATTTATCCCCAACAACAACCAACAATATATTTCAGCAATAAAACCTCGCAATACGTAAATATAATGCCAATATGATAAGGAGACAAATGCAACAACAACAACACCAACACCAAGATTTAACGTGGAAGTGAAAATACAATGCGGGAAAAATCACAAACGGCCCAAAAACTTCTAATGACAAAGAATAGTAGAATACACCAGGTGTTCTTCTCGATTCACACACTAGAGGCTCAAGAATAACAATACAACAGTATTTCATCACCAAAGATGGATTAACATAAATAAAGCAAAAAACCTTAACCGCGATTGGAGAATTCGGAGAAAGTTCTTAATCAATGAAATCAATCAACTCGTAGCCCTCGGTCTCATGCACAACATACTGAAATTTGAACCAATTCCGTCAACGTTTGGCTTTCGAATCGGGAGCCGCAATCTTCTTTCCCTTCTTTCCTTCGTGCACCTCATGGTGAGGGCACTCTCTCTCATTCTTTTTTTTCTCTCTTCTTGGGGCTCACCTCTCGCAGGAAGCTGCTCTTTTCCTTTTTCCTTTTTTTTTTGTTTTTTGACTTTTTGTTTTTTTTTTGTTTTATTTGTCAGCTCGGCCCCACATATAAGGCGGACCCAGACAACATCTAGTTCGTCTTCATTACAAGTCTACAAAGAAGCTTCTGGTATTTTCAGATTACATTTCTAGGAATGAAACTTCAATTGACAGGAGCAAGCTCGTTCCCTTTCTCTTCAATCTTAGGCACCGTTTTCTGCTTCCATTTTCCAGAGGCTTACTTTAAACCAAAGCGAACTGGCTGGCTAACACAGACAGTTGAAAAACCGGGCAAACTTTTCGGATAAAGACTGGTAGCCATCATCTAGTTGCTGGTCATCTCCATCAAATTCATCGTCTCTGTCGAAAATCAGACGTACCCCACATTTCTTCAGCTGCATTCCGGGAATTAATGATGGGTTCCGCTTTCCCACCTGAACTTTGTACCCTTCTTTCAACTTGGAAACCAATGGGTGAAAATCCAAGAACCTGCACAAATGAACCTGATCTTCGTCTAATTTCGGAACTCCCTTCAATGGCAATGTGGTGCTGAAGATAGGCGTGTTCATTTTGAGTATTTTTGCCTCGATATCCACAAGTGTGGGAATATGATCTCTCAAAGATTCTGGGAAGTCACTGGTGATGGAAACGACTACACCTATGAGAACAGCCTTGAGCGTGTGGTTTTTGCGTACCGTGTAGCTCACTTTTTCTTCGTTTAGCCAATCTGGAATTTCACTCCCTGGCGCACCGAGAACGCGTAAATTCCTCAAAAAAACCTGCAAAAGATCAAACCGTCGTGACTGCCATATAAACAGGTCCATTAGTAGCGAGTAAATGACTGCTATACCCACATGGCATGATTCTCCACTTTTTCGTGCAATTGAGGTTTTGATGCATATAATTTTCCTTTTTCCAGAGTTTTCGGACTTAAACAGTGTAGATGCATCTTTGAGAGAGAGAGAGGGAGAGAGAGAGAGAACCTTAGAAATTCTCGTCTTAACTACCGAGGAACACGCATGGCATCCAGTCAGGTATAGCCTACTCAAGGATTTCAAGCACTGAAGTCCTGGAACATCCACCACTTTCTCACAATTCGCCATGTTCAGCTCTTGCAAGTTTTCCAATTCAGACAGATCAGAGACTGTCTCCATTGCCACGCAGCCTGCGATATTAACCACTACCAAACTCGATGGAAGAGGCGGAAGAGACTTGATCTCCTTACAGTGAGGTAGCAGAAGCTCCTTAAGGACGGAAAGTCCCTTCAGGCTTGTGGGAAGGCTTGTCAAGTTATTGTATCCTAGATTTAGAGTTTCTAGCAATACCAACTTCTCGAAATCATCAGGAACTCTTCCACGCATGTACCAAGCACGGGCATTCAATTCTCCTAGCCAAGAGAGATTCGATAATGAAGATGGAAGCATCGACCCAGGAATTTCCTCAGGAATAACCGCGCAACGCGGTTTCTTGCCCATTTTCAACCTCACTAACTTTGAGAGCATCCCGAAGGTTTCTGGTAATTCTGTTACTGCGGTCTCCTCCATCATCAGGTGGTACAATGATCTCAAACTGCCCATGGATGGCGGAAGCTTGCAGAGACGTTTACATTTGTTAAGCCTTATGATAACGACGTTTTCCAATTTTCCTATCGACTGCGGAAGCTCTGTGATGTTCACATTGTAAAGGATCATGGTAGTGAGATTCCACAAGCTTCCGATCGATTCTGGTAAGCTTTCAAGTGATTCACAATCCCGGATTTCCAACCTTCTAAGCATCTTCAGAGCTCCGAGTTGAGCTGGTAGACTTGTGATTGACGGTCCACCTAGACTAAGCTCTGTGAGCGAATGCAATCCCTTAATTGAGTCAGGACAATGCCTTGAAAACTGACAATCTCCAATCGAAAGGGTCTTTAGGTACAGCAAAGAACCGATGGAAGCAGGTAGTTCTCTGATTTTACTTCCATCAATGAACAATTCTTTCAACGATTCTAAGTCGCCAACAAATTCAGGAAGTTCAGTCAGTGAGACGCACCTCATAAGGCTCAACAACTCAAGTTTCCGCAATGACCGCACCGAATCAGGTAGCTTCTCTATTCCAGTATCATTAAGAGTGAGTTCTCTGAGAGAAGCCATCATTCCAATGTGATTGGGTAGCTTTTTCAAAGAAGTGCACCGATTTAGATGAAGCTTCTCAAGTTTTGTGAGGTGGAATATCTTTTCGGGCAAACTTTTTATAGGAGTTCCATCGAGGAGAAGTAACTTCAAAGATTCCATGCTCTCTATATCCTCTGGTAGTTCTTTCAAATTTGCACAACCGGAGAGAATGAGTTCTTCCAGATTCTTGAGCCCGGATACGTCTTTTGGGAGTCCAACAAGCTTTGAACATCCTTCAAGGTTTAGGTGCACCAGAGCATTCAGACTTCCGATTGACTTGGGAACTTGGGTCAATCTCGTGCACCGCTCGAGAACAAGTTTTTTCAAGCTTCGACTTGCTGATAAATCTGGAATACTAGCAAGATTACAGCAGCCACGAAGATTTATAACCAATAAGTTCTCCCCAGCCTGGTAGATATGAAATTTTATCCCATCATAAATAGTTGCTGAAGCATATGAATGGTAGCAAAAACATACAGGCAGTATCAAATGGTACAGAAGCATTGAAACAGTATACTGACGTAACATGTCTATAGTTATTGTATCGTTAGAGAGTGACCAAGACCGTGACTCACCTTATTACTGTTGGCTTTCCACAAGCGTTCAATCTTGCTGCTTGCCAGATCGAGGACGGCCAATTCTCGTGGTAAAAAATCAGAAGGAAGAATGGTCGAGGGACATTCTTTCCATTGCAGCCATTTCAGCGACTGAGGCAGGAACCTGAATTTCCCTTCCAATTCGGCATGATTAATTTGAAGCAGTCTCAGGTTAATTATTGGTTTAAAGTACTCAGCACGAAGCACTGCCTCGTTCTCACTGTCTGCTCCAAAATCAAAAAATTTCCTGAACATCTCTTGTAAACATTGAATGGCGGAAGCGAGATTGGGCGTTCTCATGAAATTGTTTCGTGACAGTCTCTCGCTGCTAGGGTCCGTCACAAACGGCTTATGTTGGTAGTCCAGGACGATCCCCTCTATGTTCCTTGTCCCCTGTGATGGCAAAAGTATGGGTCTTGAATTAAAAGCTTGCTTAGTAGGAAGAAAGATAAATCTACACCAATTGGAATAGTTTGCAATTTGACCAATGGTTTTTTTTTGTCAAATTCATGTCTGTTAGTAACTACCAAATGAAGAACAACGACATGGGACGTGTGTGCAATGGTGTTAATGACGGAGGAAGCAAAAGGCGCGATGGCACAAAATTTCCGTACTGATCCATTTTTGAGGACAGCCAAGATTTCCTTGCGATCCCACAGTCGACTGCGTGCGCCGGGATCACGAGCATTCTCGAGTAACACGATCTCTCTCCCCATGTCCCTAAGCTGATCGTGCATCCACAGCGTACCGTCGTCCTTCATGATCTTGATAAGTGATCTCGAGACAAGAACTCTGAGCCCAATCTCAGCCTTGAAGCCGCAACCTTCCCATATGTCTATTGCTTCCTCTCTCGTCATATGCGTCTTAACAAATAAGCAAGCTGCGTCGAGGAATATGCGCTTGGTCTCCTCGTCGAGCCCTTCGTAGCTGATCTTCATCGTGTCCTGGAGATTATTAGGGCGAATCTGTTTCAGCTTCTGCACCGCGTCTTCCCATTCGATTTTCCTCCTCTTGTCGACCAGAAAAGAGCCGAACACCTCCAAAGCCAACGGCAAATTCCCGGCCAGAGACACGATTTGCTTGGACAGCGCCATGAATTCATCCATTGGCTTCTCTCTCTTCAATGCATGGTAGCTGAACAGACGCAACGCATCTTCGGAGGACAGCTCTCGCACCTCGTAAAGCTCAATCTCAAAGTTTCTTGCGACCAAAGCTTCTCTATTTCTGGTCGTGATGATGATTCGACTTCCCTCGTGGAACCATTCTTTACCGCTGATCAACATGTTGAGCTGACTGGCGTCGTCGACGTCATCCAAGAGGAGGAGGACTCGCATTTCGCTAAGGGCTTGCCTGATCGCATTCTTGTGAGAAGTGGCATCATTCAAAGGTGGCATATTGGGCGAGAGATCGCGTAGGATCTTGTCCTGGAGAGAGATCGAGCCATCGCCGCGCATGAAAGCTTCTCTGATGTCCGCGACGAAGCTGCGTTTCGCAAAGTGCGCAACGAGCTTATTGTAGAGTGATTTGGCAAGGGTGGTTTTGCCAACACCGCCGAACCCGTGCAATCCAAGAAACTTGACACCGCCGGATTTGACGCTCAATACACTGAGGAGTTGCTCGATGCGAGAGTCCAGTCCGACAAGGATCGGAGCCACGTTGAGCGGAACATTGTTCAGTTCATCCATAATTCTGCGGACGAGGTTTTGAATCAACAGCGACATTTCTCTGCAATAAGAGATTCAAGTCGAGAACACATTACGAGCGAGGATGGAGTGGATGAGTGGCGGGAAGGAATTATAAATCAAATCTGCAAAGGCCCATACATATATATATATATATATATATATATATATATATAGCTGTCAAATCGGGACGTGAATGCACATATGCTAAAGTTATACATCTATTTTCACTGGGAAACACGTTCGAAAAATAAAGACCATCCTACAATTCCGTAAAAAAAAAGGTTAATATCACGAAAAACCCCAGACTGGTACATCTGTGATAAATTTAATCAAAATTATTTTTTTTACCATAAAAAACTCCAAACTGATACACCTGTGATAAATTTACCTCAAACTATTTTTTTAACCACAAAAAACTCCAAACCGGTACATTTGTGACAAATTTACCTTCCGTTAAATTGGATTAATACCACGAAAAATCACAAACTGATACACCTATAATAAACGGAGGGTAAAACCCCAAACTGGTACATCCGTGAACTGTCACGTATTATCTAACTCAGAAATTTGACTGTAAAATTAAACGAAAACTAACGGAGGGTAAAATTGTCACTGATGTACCAGTTTTGAGTTTTTCGTGGTATTAACCCAAAGAATTATTAGTAAAAATAATTACCAATTTTGTCGTGGAGAAGAACAAATAGGCACGTTCTTAAATTGAAAAAATCGACGGTCTTTTAACAGTGAATGCACGTTATCATTTTTGGGTTACAACACCTAGAAGAATTTGATTACAAAACTAACTCTTTAAAGTCGAATGCATAAGCTTTTATTAAATTGATGGAGGAATTATAAATGATGCTTTAACTCAACACATTCCAAAACCACACACGCAATTATTGGTGCATCTTCTCCACCAATATTGGCTTTAAAATTATGGGTGCTTTTTCCTTTTCCGCTAAACTTAAAAATCTTATTCACATTTCAAAAAATCATGAAAGAATCATATGTGAATCAACTTGTTATTATCTAGTGTAAAAATTTCAGGTGTTTTTGATTAATAAAAATCAAAGTGTTTGAGCAAAAAAATTCTGATTAAGCAAAATATAGTAAGTAAAAGTCAATCCAAATACATCCTTAGTTTGGCAAAAGAAACTAAGTTGGCTATAACATTATTATATTTCACCCAGGAGGTTGGCTTAGTGATTAAGCATCTGATTAGTATAAATTAGATGCACATCATATGTTCGATTCCTTGATGAGTACCCCTTTAAGTAAAAAAATAGTTAAATTGTTTACTATATTTAGACTTGCGTTTTACTTGATCCATGAGTTTAATGGTGTATTTCTTATACTCGAAATTTACTCACTTAAGTTGGCTTCCTAGATATATAATATTCAGACTAGGACACTTAGATAATGGACATATAGAAAATGGTGTTCTAACATAAATAATTTTAGAAATACGAAAATTGATATATTAAATGTGCTCATAAAGTGATATGGCAGAAATTTTTTTTTTTGGTCGAAATATGGCATATTTCATTTGGTGCTGAAGAGAAGTACGAGACGACAAGGAGGAGAAGCTCCGGAGGTGGAGAGAGATGAGCGAGAAGGCAGAGAGGAGGAAGGAGGAGGCATGCAGCGAGGGCGTTGTCTCAAAGAGTAGGGAAAATGATTTCTGTTTTTTAAAAAGCAGAAGTTTTCTTGCCCTATTTAAAGGCCTTTTTTCAGTTGACGGAAATTAATTTCCTTAATCCATTCATTTCTTTGAGTCAAATAGCGAAAAATTCGAAAAATATTTTAATAAACAGAGCTGAAGTTCTCAACTGCAGTATTTGCATTTTTTTACTAAATAAAAATCCAAATTGTTGGGTTCGTGAACAAGGCTAAGCTAGGTCTTCTCATATGAGCTTTCGAATTTTACTTATAAGCGTAGCCCCCAAGTACACCCTCTCTATAGCCTAAGTAATAATTACTGACATTACCATGATCTATCGGATTTGTACTAGGAAACGATAAATGGAAAAAGTTAAACTTCGCATGGAAGGTTCGATTGACAACAACCAATCATTCATAGAATGTAGTATATATATACCTTCAAAGAGATCAGTATATATGACCCCCTAACCCTATAGTTTTGGGACCAGGTGCACCGGCGAGATACCTTGTGTCGTCACCGTACCATTGAAGGGAAAATTGCACAACCTGTCATAAATCTATTATATGAATGTGAATTCATTTCCAAACTTTTCTATTTGCTAATTTATTTCTAAACTTTTACGCGAAATTTCAATGTAATCCTTCTAGTTTGCTAACGTGGCGGTCCAATCATCGCCGGGCGTCCTATGTGGCGATGTGTCACGACATCAATTTTCGGCGAAAATTGGCCGGAAGTACTACATTGAAAATTCATGCAAAGATCTAGGTCTAAATTGACAAAATTGAAAAGTTTAAGATTGAATGGATATCCGCATAATAAGTTTAAGATTGATTAAACATTTTCCCCTTCTGCTGAGCGGTATCCACAAGAACTCACTAAATTATTATTGTTCGGGAACCACGGGTCCACATATGGATTATTCAATTGTTATTTTTTAAAGAGAAATTAAACATGTAAGCTTATCATGTTTAAATTAATCATCACCGCATTAGCGACCCATAATGACGGATGTAGATTCAATCACCTCAACTATTTGATTAAAATTTACCAAAATGATAGACAAAAGAGGATAAAAGAGAAGAACGTATCTTAGTAAGTAAAATTTAGAGATTAATATCAATTCCACGTCTCACGGATGTCTTGTTTAGGATACACATGACAACATGGATGATGTATGGGTGTTCTCACTTACATTGGGGAAAGGAAAGAAAAAGGCTCGACATCTCTTACCTCGGATCGTCTTGGGCCCTGAAGGTCCAACCGGAGACTCCACCAGCTTGTCTCATGGCAGCTCTCCAAGTAGAAACCTTCGCATCTCCGTGCCTCCCCACATGACGCCCGAACGAGCCCTCGAACGGCCCTTTCTGATACCTCACGTCCGAGGGCTCGACCCCGTAGAACACCGGGATCATCAGCTTCCCGCACTCGCATATCTTCGCCAGCTCTTCCAAGCACCAGCTCGAGGTCGCGTAGTTCCGCGATATCACCACGATCGCCATGGCGGAGTCCTCGATCGCCGCCAGTAGGCTCGGCGAGATCTGGTCGCCCCGGTTCATGCCCTCGTTATCGCGGAAGGCCCGGATGTTTTTGCTTCGGAGCGCGTCGTAGAGAGGGCCGATGAAGGGTCTGCGCGTGTCTGCTCCTCGGAAGCTCAGTAACACGTCCCACTTCAGCCTCAGATCTGGTTGAGTAGATGCAGCGACGTCGTTCTCCATCTTTTTTTTCTGGGGAGGGTTGAATCGATGCTAAAAGTTGAGAAAGATGGGCATGTCAAATGAGTGTAACTTGGCTACATATGAGATCTTATGTACGGAAACTACTATCAGACTTTGCCGAGTTTGAAGGAATACGCTGATTAGGCTATTAAGAAGCAGTTTACTTCGAATCAACGAAGAATACAGGTGACCGGGCAGGGAATTCGATTGAAGGTACTCAACCAGAGAGTAAAAAGAGCGCTCTCTTCAACCTTGTGAGGCGAAAAATGAGAATTCGAAACCGAAGCGAAGTATACCATTTTCTTCTTAGATCGTAAGCTCTGCCGTCACAATAGTGACAAGTGATTGGACAGGGCAGACGGGGAAGGAAGGGTACCCAACCAGAGAGAGTTAGAACCAAGGAAGGCTTCTTTGATTCATTGAAGGAGGGCGAAAGCTTTATCTAGTCAGTTTACATGTAGCCAGTTGCTTCCCAAAGTCATAGAAAGGCATCATAGGAGGAGACTTTGGCTGAGCGAGAGACTGTTCACTGAATGGAACTTGTAGTTCCATCACATCATCTTTGGTGAAGACTGAGTCGAAGATGGAAACAGGAGAAACGACACGAGAGGTCCCGGCTTTTGGTAGAGAATAAGGGCAAAAAAACTTTACTGACCTTGAGCCTTGAGGTACACTGCGAGCCTGAGAACCTGCTCTGGACGGTGCTGTTCACTTGCCACGTGAAAGTTTTACGTGACCAAAGTGAGTTATGTGAGCCATTCATTCCATGGAGAGAATGTGAAGGACCGTAATCACAAATGTTTCATCTCCATATGATATCTTAGGCCTTAGGTTGAAGACTCTCGTGCTTTAACATGGTACTAGAATCAAGTTGATAAGTTCGTGCTGCATTTGGTTCCTCCCATCTGGCTCGTCATCCCTGTGAAGTTGTCTTAGCATGTCAAAGAGGATTTTGTATTACTTGTGAACTAGATTCATCTTTCCTATATGGAGACTCCTCTGTTTGGTAACTTTTACATCGGAGGTTTTTTCGAATGTTCGAGATAAGACATATTGGTAGCAGCTCATTGTAGCTAGGCCTAAGGTAGGGCATGACCACCATATGAGAGCAACAACTCATGATACAATTATTTTTCTTGCATGCTTGCAGTGACATATATCTATGAATTGATTGTAAGTTTGGTTTTACGGCTAATGAATGAACTTGCTCACTTACATTAAATGCATAATACAATTTTACTTTTCGAGATTGAGATCCTCTAAATCTAGGGAGGTAAATTTCCTTAGATGGTCAATGCATTAGCAACCAAATGGAAGATCCCGATTAAGTCACGCCACCACAAATACCTTGAATTAGCGAAAATGCTCACCTTTTGTGAAAATTATATACACACTAACCAAAACCCTAATCCCATTTTTCTTTTCATTCTCTCTCTATCTTCGCGCACCTAGACAATCATAAGTTCAAAGGACGTAATCTCTTTTTAATTTTTATCCTGTTCTTTCTTTTGGTGAGCAAAGAAGGTCATCTTAACCGAGCTACTAACATTGCTGACCTACGATAGCTCGCTTTTCATTAATCTGCTTGTACGACGCTCCAGTTCAATCCATGGAAAGGCCTTCATGCTGGCATGTGATCTTACTGATGAACAAAAGCTTGCTCGTGATTCTACATATATTTCTAAAACCTTTGACAAGGTCACTCGTGATTCCAATAAAGAAAAAAAGATTATAGAGAAAATTCACATGTAAAACAAGGTGGACTTCCATTCTAGCGCAGGGCTCTATTAGTGAAATAGGGGATGAAAATTATACGGTGCGCCGCGCGGACATAAATGCATACACGCATCTTTATTCGTCTTAGGAAGTAGAGGAAACTCTAAAACAGAGCATAATCATGTGTTTACCTCAACTGTGCTTTCAGTAGAGAAAATCTAGCATCATGGACTATGATTGCACGAGCTCAAGAATACATAGAAAAATGTCGGTATCCGATAATTGAATCCGACCGATGCCCGCATTTGGCCAAAAAGCAATGGCACGTAATGCAACAATTCCACGCTCCTTCCATAAGGAGAAGGGGGGTTATGAGTTATGCGAGCATATGCCATCCCGAACTGCGGTATATCCACAGAGCAGAAGGAACGTCATTGTCTCGAGAAAGAACCCTAATAATATTCCGTCGAGAGAATGACGACGGTGGTGGCCAAGAAAGGGACTGACGTCGTCGAGAATCTTCGTCTGCATCCCTCCCACGCAGTTCCTTTCTTGACTCTTCGAACACCCACCGCTTTTTCAGACTCGAAGGTCGAAAGGCGTACGCAACTCCTCAAATGAAACAACCCCCTGTATTTCGAATTCTTGGCCGTGTAAAGTTCTAGTCTCTACATGTGAACATGTGAACTCGTCGTACATCTTGACTTTCCCTCTCCCCCCGCCCCCACCCACCCACCCACCCACGCACCTCATTATTGATGATGACAGTGACATTTCCGCGACTCGAGCATTCACATGCGAAGACTGGAACTCTCGCGAACAAATATGTGGGCGTGAGATCAGCATCGGACCACGAACTTCCTGTCGATGTCATCTCTAATGTTTTTAATCAGGTTAACCATAGGTTCTCAATTTTTCCAGTGCGCAATCTCTCGTTTTAGATTGAAGGAAATGACACGTCTATTTGTTGCTTACGTGCCCTAATCACTTCGAATAGTCGATTTTCCTTTAACTAAGATATTGTAAACGTTCAGAACCTCTGGTCAGCCCAACCCTCTTTGTTTTACTTATTAATGCCACAACAGTTGCATAGGAGGTAAGAAAAGCGGCCAAATCTCAAAAAAAAAAAAAAAGAATACCTGAACTTTTGCTTGTAGGACAAATATGCCACGACTGTGTAAACGAACCAAAAAATGTCACGAGCGTTTTTTGCCGAGAGGTAAAAAGTACACCCCCTTTAAATCTTTCCATCGAAGTGACTCGATGTGGTACTGACTAGGGGACGTTTTAAGGCAACGAATCAACAGAGAAAGAATTACAACGATCTCCTGAAACCTACGTGAACCGAAAACGGCAACGTTTTCGGAGAAACGGTGTTTCGGGCTTTTGCTATTGCGTCTCGCAGGCGTCGTCTTCGCTCGTGCCGACGTGTCCTTTTCAACAATGTCGTGGCAGCGCTGTCAGCCACATCATGTGCCGCAGCAAAATGCACGGACGAAAAAATTCAACTGGGTATTTTTGTCCACATAAAAATCGTGCATTTCTTTTTTTTGATCGTCTGAAATGTCAGGATATTTTTATTCCTGGAACGTCGTGGAAGTGGGTTTTTCTTTTTTTTGGGAGTTGGCCTAAAGGAAAACTAGGAAAGCAGCGTGGAACCTGTGCTAGAGGTCGCTGAGATTGGGCCCATCCCAGGGGCAGGGCTTGGGCTTGGGAAGGACAACCAGTCCCATGGGCCTCCTTCAAGGGGGACTCCAAGTAAGCCCATTTTCTCATATTCAGCTCGATTTCGTGCCGACACTGTCTCCCTAAACGGGGTCATCCTACCTTTCGAAGCCCTTGCGGATTTATTCATGAGGTTCAATTAGGAGTACAACGAAGGAACAGATGATTTTCATGCATCAAAGTACATTCGAGTGACTAGTAAGTAGTCGTGCTGTTTCGGCAACTGGGGTATCCCTAACGGATGGCCTGGAAATCGATATCGGATCTCTCGAGATTCTTTCGATGTTGACGTAACCTCATCGAATTGTTTGACGAGTCCTTTGACATGTGATCTAGATCGGGGGTGACATCGCAAAGAGATATTCGTGTTCCAAAAGCCGTACTTACTCAATGATTGAAAAAAGGGGAGGACACAGACATGATATGTACTGGATACAGTGTGGGAAATCAAAATGCAGTCGACACTTGTGCTCCTACGTTGATGCAGAAGATGATTGAGTCAGGAAGTTTCCATCAGAATGATTTCTAGGCCAAGTTAGGGTTAGTATCCGGTGATTAATGGCAAAAAATTAGTTTTGGGTAAAATTATTACAGGCGTACCAGTTTGAAGTTTTTTGAGGTAAAAAAATTAGTTTAGAATAAAATTGTCGCAGATATAAAGATTTGGGGTTTTTCGTGGTATTAACCCTTTGTTAACCATGAAACCTCTTCAATATTTACTTTTTTTTTTCTCTTTTCTATCACATGCTTGGTCATGAGACTATGACCAAGTTTTGATTTTTCCATTTTCCCTATTCTTTTTTGGGAAAATGACACGAATAGTCCCTAAACTTTGCCTCAATGTGTAATGTGTTCCCTAAACTTGTAATTTGTTTAATGTGATCCATGAGCTTTAATCCAACGTGCAATATAGGCCCTGAACTTTTAATTTGATCAATGTGGTCCATGAACTTTTGGTACATGTTCAATGTAGTCATTGAACTATATAAATATGTTCAAGATAATCATTCCATTAATTCAAATTTATGGATTATATTGAACATTTTCATATAGTCAAGGTACTACATTGGACATGTAACAAAAGTTTAGAGCCACATTCAATAAATTAAAAATTTAAGGACCACTTTAATCAATATGCTAAAGCTCAAGTATCACATTGAACAAATTAAAAATTTAAGGATCACATTACGTGTTAAGTCAAAGTTTAGAAATCATTCGAGTCATTATGCCTTTGTTTTTTCTAGTGAGAAAGAAAGAGTTGTCCCCTGCTCAAACTTTGCAATAGAAGAAAAGTGGAACTCTCTGGGTCAAAAGAAAAGGGCTTTAAAATAAAAGAACGGGAGATAACGATGTTCTATAGTTCATCTTCATCACAAAGTCTACAAGGAAGCTTCTGGTATTTTCAGATTACATTTCCAGGAATGAAATTTCAAATTGACAGGAGCAAGCCCGTTCCCTTTCTCTTCAATCTTTGGCACCGTTTTCTGCTTCCATTTTCCAGAGGCTAACTTTAAACCAAAGCGAACTGGCTACTACAGACTGTTGAAAAACCGGGCAAGCTTTTCGGATAAGGACTGGTAGCCATCATCTAGTTGCTGCTCATCTCCTTCAAATTCATCGTCTCTCTCGAAAATCAGACGTACCCCGCATTTCTTCAGCTGCATTCCGGGAATGAATGGTGGGTTCCGCTTTGCCACCTGAACTTTGTACCCTTCTTTCAACTTGGAAACCAGCGGATGAAAATCCAAGAACCGGCACAAATGAACCTGATCTTCGTCTAATTTAGGAACTCCCTTCAATGGCAATGTGGTGCTGAAGATAGGCGTGTTCATTTTGAGTATATTTGCCTGGATATCCACGAGTGTGGGAATATGATCTCTCAAAGATTCTGGGAAGTCACTGGTGATGGCAACGACTACACCTATGAGAACAGCCTTGAGCGTGCGGTTTTTGCGTACCGTGTAGCTCACTTCCTCTTCATTTAGCCAATCTGGAATTTCACTCCCTGGCATACTGAGAACGCGTAAATTCCTCAAAGAAACCTGCAAAATGTCAAACCATCGTGACTGCTATATAAACATGTCCATTAGTAGTGACTGCATGACTGCTATACCCACATGGCATGATTCACCACTTTTTCGTGCAATTGAGGATATGGTGCATATAATTTTCCTTTTCCAGAGTTTTCGGACCTGAACAGTGTAGATGCATATTTTGAGGGGGGAGACAGAGAGAGAGAAATAACCTTAGAAATTCTCCTCTTTACTACCGAGGAACACGCATGGCATCCAGTCAGGTATAGCCTTCTCAAGGATTTCAAGCACTGAAGTCCTGGAACATCCACCACTTTCTCACAATTCGCCATGTTCAGCTCTTGCAAGTTTTCCAATTCAGACAGATCAGAGACTGTCTCCATTGCCACGCAGCCTGCGATATTAACCACTACCAAACTCGATGGAAGAGGCGGAAGAGACTTGATCTCCTTACAGTGAGGTAGCAGAAGCTCCTTAAGGACGGAAAGTCCCTTCAGGCTCGTGGGAAGGCTCGTCAAGTTATTGTATCCTAGATTTAGAGTTTCTAGCGATACCAACTTCTCGAAATCATCAGGAACTTTTCCATGCATGTACCAAGCACGGGCATTCAAATCTTCAAGCCAAGATAGATTCGATAATGAAGATGGAAGCATCGACCCAGGAATTTCCTCTGTAATCAGATCTTGATTCTCTGTCTCTGTGTTGCCCTCAGGAATAACCGTGGAACGCGGTTTCTTGCCCATTTTCAACCTCACTAACTTTGAGAGCTTCCCGAAGGTTTCTGGTAATTCTGTTACTGCGGTCTCCTCCATGATCAGGTGGTACAATGATCTCAATTTGCCCATGGATGGCGGAAGCTTGCAGAGACGTTTACAGTTGTTAAGCCTCATCATGACGACATTTTCCAAATTTCCTATCGACTGCGGAAGCTCTGTTATGTTCACTTTGTAAAGGATCATGGTAGTGAGATTCCACAAGCTTCCGATCGATTCTGGTAAGCTTTCAAGTGATTCGCAATCCCGGATTTCCAACCTTCTAAGCATCTTCAGAGCTCCGAGTTGAGCCGGTAGACTTGTGATTGACGGTCCACCTAGACTAAGCTCTGTGAGCGAATGCAATCCTTTAATTGAGTCAGGACAATGCCTTGAAAACTGACAATCTCCAATCGAAAGGGTCTTTAGGTACAGCAAAGAACCGATGGAAGCAGGCAGTTCTCTGATTTTACTTCCATCAATGAACAATTCTTTCAACGATTCTAAGTCGCCAACAAATTCAGGAAGTTCAGTCAGTGAGACGCACCTCATAAGGCTCAACAACTCAAGTTTCCGCAATGACCGCACCGAATCAGGTAGCTTCTCTATTCCAGTATCATTAAGAGTGAGTTCTCTGAGAGAAGCCATCATTCCAATGTGATTGGGTAGCTTTTTCAAAGAAGTGCACTGATTTAGATGAAGCTTCTCAAGTTTTGTGAGGTGGAATATCTTTTCGGGCAAACTTTTTATAGGAGTTCTATCGAGGAGAAGTAACTTCAAAGATTCCATGCTCTCTATATCCTCTGGTAGTTCTTTCAAATTTGCACAACCGGAGAGAATGAGTTCTTCCAGATTCTTGAGCCCGGTTACGTCTTTTGGGAGTCCAACAAGCTTTGAACATCCTTCAAGGTTTAGGTGCACCAGAGCATTCAGACTTCCGATTGACTCGGGAACTTGGGTCAATCTCGTGCACCGCTCGAGAACAAGTTTTTTCAAGCTTCGACTTGCTGATAAATCTGGAATACTAGCAAGATTACAGCAGCCACGAAGATTTATAACCAATAAGTTCTCCCCAGCCTGGTGGATATGAAATTTTATCCCATCATAAATAGTTGCTGAAGCATATGAATGGTAGCAAAAACATATAGGCAGTATCAAATGGTACAGAAGCATTGAAACAGTATACTGACGTAACATGTCTATAGTTATTGTATCGTTAGAGAGTGACCAAGACCGTGACTCACCTTATTACTGTTGGCTTTCCACAAGCGTTCAATCTTGCTGCTTGCCAGATCGAGGACCGCCAAATCTCGTGGTAAAAAATCAGAAGGAAGAATGGTCGAGGGACATTCTTTCCATTGCAGCCATTTCAGCGACTGAGGCAGGAACCTGAATTTCCCTTCCAATTTGGCATGATTAATTTGAAGCAGTCTCAGGTTAATTATTGGTTTAAAGTACTCAGCACGAAGCACCGCCTCGTTCTCACTGTCTGCTCCAGAATCAAAAAATTTCCTGAACATCTCTTGTAAACATTGAATGGCGGAAGCGAGATTGGGCGTTCTCATGAAATTGTCTCGTGACAGTCTCTCGCTGCTAGGGTCCGTCACAAACGGCTTATGTTGGTAGTCCAGGACGATCCCCTCTATGTTCCTTGTCCCCTGTGATGGCAAAAGTATGGGTCTTGAATTAAAAGCTTGCTTAGTAGGAAGAAAGATAAATCTACACCAATTGGAATAGTTTGCAATTTGACCAATGGTTTTTTTTTGTCAAATTCATATCTGTTAGTAACTACCAAATGAAGAAGAACGACATGGGACGTGTGTGCAATGGTGTTAATGACGGAGGAAGCAAAAGGCGTGATGGCCCAAAATTTCCATACTGATCCATTTTTTAAGACAGCCAAGATTTCCTTGCGATCCCACAGTCGACTGCGTGCGCCGGGATCACGAGCATTCTCGAGTAACACGATCTCTCTCCCCATGTCCCTAAGCTGATCGTGCATCCACAGCGTACCGTCGTCCTTCATGATCTTGATAAGTGATCTCGAGACAAGAACTCTGAGCCCAACCTCAGCCGTGAAGCCGCAACCTTCCCATATTTCTATTGCTTCCTCTCTCGTCATATGCGTCTTAACAAATAAGCAAGCTGCGTCGAGGAATATGCGCTTGGTCTCCTCGTCGAGCCCTTCGTAGCTGATCTTCATCGTGTCCTGGAGATTATTAGGGCGAATCTGTTTCAGCTTCTGCACCGCGTCTTCCCATTCGATTTTCCTCCTCTTGTCGACCAGAAAAGAGCCGAACACCTCCAAAGCCAACGGCAAATTCCCGGCCAGAGACACGATTTGCTTGGACAGCGCCATGAATTCATCCATTGGCTTCTCTCTCTTCAATGCATGGTAGCTGAACAGACGCAACGCATCTTCGGAGGACAGCTCTCGCACCTCGTAAAGCTCAATCTCAAAGTTTCTTGCGACCAAAGCTTCTCTATTTCTGGTCGTGATTATGATTCGACTTCCCTCGTGGAACCATTCTTTACCGCTGATCAACATGTTGAGCTGACTGGCGTCGTCGACGTCATCCAAGAGGAGGAGGACTCGCATTTCGCTAAGGGCTTGCCTGATCGCATTCTTGTGAGAAGTGGCATCATTCAAAGGTGGCATATTGGGCGAGAGATCGCGTAGGATCTTGTCCTGGAGAGAGATCGAGCCATCGCCCCGCATGAAAGCTTCTCTGATGTCTGCGATGAAGCTGCGTTTCTCAAAGTGCGCGACGAGCTTGTTGTAGAGCAATTTGGCAAGGGTGGTTTTGCCAACACCGCCGAACCCGTGCAATCCAAGAAACTTGACACCGCCGGATTTGACGCTCAACACACTGAGGAGTTGCTCGATGTGAGAATCCAGTCCGACGAGGATCGGAGCCACGTTGAGCGGAACATTGTTCAGTTCATCCATAATTCTGCGGACGAGGTTTTGAATCAACAGCGACATTTCTCTGCAATAAGAGATTCAAGTCGAGAATACATTACGAGCGAGGATGGAGTGGATGAGTGGCGGGAAGGAATTATAAATCAAATCTGCAAAGGCCCATACATATATATATATATATATATATATATATATATATATATATATATATATATAGCTGTCAAACCGGTACATTTCTAACAAATTTACCCTCCGTTAAATTGGATTAATACCACGAAAAATCACAAACCGATATACCTATTATAAACGGAGGATAAAACCCCAAACTGGTACACCAGTGAACTGTCACGTGTTATCCAACTCAAAAATTTGACGGTAAAATTAAACGAAAACTAACGGACGGTAAAATTGTCATTGGTGTACCAGTTTGGGGTTTTTCTTGGTATTAACCTAAAGAATCATTGGTAAAAAAAATTACCGATTTTGTTGCGGAGAAGAACAAAAATGCACGTTCTTAAATTGAAAAAATCGACGAACTTTTAAAAATTGAATGCACGTCATCATTTTTGGGTTACAGAGACCAAGAAGAATTTGATTACAAAACTAACTCTTTAAAGTTGAATGCATAAGCTTTTTTATTAAATTGATGGTGGAATTATCCATCATGCTTTAACTCTACACATTCCAAGACCGCACACACAATTATTGGTGCATCTTCTCCACCAATATTGGCTTTAAAATTATGGGTGCCTTTTCCTTTTCCGCTAAACTTAAAAATCTTATTCACATTTCAAAAAATCATGAAAGAATCATATGTGAATCAACTTGTTGTTATCTAGTGTAAAAATTTCAGGTGTTTTCGATTAATAAAAATCAAAGTGTATGAGCAAAAAAATTCTGATTAAGCAAAACATAGTAAGTAAAAGTCAATCCAAATACATCCTTAGTATGGCAAAAGAAACAAACTCGGCTATAACATCATTATATTTGACCCATGAGGTTGGCTTAGTGATTAAGGATCTGATTAGTGTAAATTAGATGCACATCACAAGTTCGATTCCTTGATGAGTACACCTCTAAGTAAAAAAATAATTAAATCGTTTACTATATTTAGACTTGCATTTTACTTGATCCATGATTTTTTTTTTTTTGGTTGGAACTTGATCCATGAGTTTAATGGTGTATTTCCTATACTCGAAATTTACTCACTTAAGTTGGCTTCCTAGATATATAATATTCAGACTAGGACACTTAGATAATGGACATATAGAATATGGTGTCCTAACATAGAGAAAGTCGGGGATATAAATAATGTTAGAAATTCGAAAATTGATATATTAAATGTGCTCATAAAGTGATATGGCAGATTTTCTTTTTGGTCCAAATATGGCAGATTTCATTTGGTGCTGAAGAGAAGTAAGAGACAACAAGGAGGAGAAGCTCTGAAGGTGGAGAGAGATGAGCGAGAAGGCAGAGAGGAGGAAGGAGGAGGCGTGCAACGAGAGGAATGGAGCTAGGGCCTTGTCTCAAAAAGTGCAGAAAATGATTTCTGTTTTTCAGATAGCGGAAGTTATTTTCCCCTATTTAAAGGTCTTTTTTCAGTTGACGGAAATTGTTTTCCTTAATCCATTCATTTCCTTGAGCCAAACAACGGAAAATTGGAAAAATGTTTTGCCGGAAGTATTTTTCGCGAAATAAACAGAGCCCAATTTCTCAACTACAACATTTGCATTTTTTTACTAAATAAAAATCCAAATTGTGGAGTTCGTGAACAAGGCTGAGCTAGGTGTGCTTATATGAGCTTTCAAATTTTACTTATAAGCCTAGCCCCCAAGTATACCCTCTCTATAGGCAAAGCAATAATTACTGACATTGCTATGATCTATCGAATTTGTACTAGGAAACAATAAATGGAAAAAGTTAGTTTCGCATGAAAGGTTTAATTGACATCAACCAATCATTAATAGAATGTAGTATACCTTCAAAGAGATCAGTATATATGACTAACCCTATAGTTTTGGGACCAGGTGCATCGGCAAGGTACCTTGTGTTGTCACCTCACCGGTGAAGGGACAGTTACCCAATTTGTCCTAAACATATTATACAGTTATTAATTTAGTTCTAAACTTTTCTATTTTACTAATTTAGTCCTAAACTTTTGTACCAAACTCCAATATAATCCGTCCAGTCAATTTTTCCCAGAATCGCTAACGTGGCGGTGTGTCACGACATCAATTTTCGGTGTAATTTGGCCAGAAGCACTACATTGAAATTTCACGCAAAGATCTAGGTCTAGATTGGCTAAATTGAAAAGTTTAATATTGAATTGATATCCGTGCAATAGGTTTAAGGCTAATTGAACATTTTCCGGTACCGTTGATTGTTCAGGAACCACAGGTCGACATATGGATTATTCAGTTGTTGAGATTTAAAGAGAAATTAAACATGTAAGCTTATCCTATGTAAATTAATCATCACCGCATTAGCGACCCATAATGACGGATGTAGATTCAATCACCTCGACTTTTCGATCAAACTTTACCAAAATGATGGAGAAAAGAGGAGAAAAGAGATGAAAGTATCTTAGTAAGTAAAATTTAGAGATTAATCTCAATTCCTCGTCTTACGGATGGTCTTGTTTAGGGTACACATGACAACATGGATGATGTTTGGGTGTTCTCACTTACGTTGGGGGAAGGAAAGAAAACGGCTCGACATCTCTTACCTCTGATCGTCTTGGCCCCTGAAGTGCCAACCGGAGACTCCACCAGCTTGTGTCATGGCAGCTCTCCAAGAAGAAACCTTCGCATCTCCGTGCCTCCCCACATGACGCCCGAACGAGCCCTGGAACGGGCCTTTCTGATACCTCACGTCCGAGGGCTCGACCCGATAGAACACCGGGATCATCAGCTTCCCGCACTCGCATATCTTCGCCAGCTCCTCCAAGCACCAGCTCGAGGTCGCGTAGTCCGGCGATAACACCACGATCGCCATGGCGGAGTCCTCGATCGCCGTCAGCAGGGTCGGCGAGATCTGGTCGCCCCGGTTCATGCCTTCGTTGTCCCGGAAGGCCCGGATGTCTTTGCTTCGGAGCGCGTCGTAGAGAGGGTCGATGAAGGGTATGCGCGTGTCTGCGCCTCGGAAGCTCAGGAACACGTCCCACTTCAGCCTCAGATCCGGTTGAGTAGATGCAGCAACGTCGTTCTCCATTTTTTTTTTTCTGGGGAGGGTTGAATCGTTGCTAAAAGTTGAGAAAGATGGGCATGCGAAATGAGTGTAACTTGGCTACATATGAGATCTTATATACGGAAACTACGATCAGAGTTTGCCGAGTTTGAAGGAATACGCGGATTAGGCTATTAAGAAGCAGTTTACCTCGAATCAACGAAGAATACAGGTGACCGGGCAGGGAATTCGATTGAAGGTACTCAACCAGAGAGGTAAAAAGAGCGCTCTCTTCGACCTTGTGAGGCGAAAAAGAAGAATTCGAAACCGAAGCGAAGTATCATTTTCTTCTTACAACGTCAGCTCTGCCGTCACCATAGTGACAGGTGATCGGACAGGGCAGATGGGGAAGGAAGGTTACCCAACCAGAAAGAAAGTTAGAACCAAGGAAAGCATCTTTGATTCATTGAAGGGTGTGAAAGCTTTGTCTGATCAGTTTCCATGGAGCCAGTTGCTTCCCAAGGTCATAGAAATGCATCAAAGGAGGAGACTTTGGCTGAGCGAGAGACTGTTCACTGAATGGAACTTGTAGTTCCATCACATCATCTTTGGTGAATGAAGACCGAGTCGAAGATGTGAACAGAAATTCAAGGGAAAAAGCATATGATTGTCTACACTATACATGTATAAAGTGAACAACCCTACATTCTTGAAGTATTTCTTTGACCTCATACATATGCTAAAGTGAATTGAAATCGTTCAATTTTTGAAACCCACGTCGGAAACATCCCACTATTTTCAATTCTCTAAATTTAACACAGTAACATATATACATAGTACGCCTAGTATAATAAGTTCTCGTTATCATCACACCTAGTACTAAGCACTATTGCTTTGCCTCGCCCTTGGCAAAAGAACAGAGACCATTCATTCATTGATTTGCTTTTGTGTGGCTGGCGTGATTGCGTTGCTTTTGCGTGGTTCGCGGGATTTCTCCACCTATCACCATTCCTCTAATGTTCGCTCGCTTTTCAATTCTCCTTAGATTCCATTTGGGGTCCGCAAGGAGGAAGAACTTCAATTATCTTAGGCGTCATATTTAGACAAAGTTATTAGAAAATGAGAAGGGCGATGGAACGATTGAATTGCTCGATTCCAATATTACAAACATAGCTTATTTATGGAGAATTTCCAGTTCAATATACATGATCACGAATTTAGACACAAATTTGACACGTACAAGATACACACAATATGGAAAACATTTGAATGCTTTGCAAAAATATATATGATGTATCTATAACATCTAAAAGATATCTTTAACAAATATTAAGTCGCAACGAGGATTATTGCTCGTAACAAGAAGAAATTCTGTCGTGACGATTACAAATGTTGATAATCGATCATGATCCATATAGTTTTTTTTATTTTTAACGAGAAAGGGAACCCTCACGGGAAAAGATTCAAATGTCCATTGTATTTGTTGTGAAACTTGCACGGAAACAATGGATCTTGCAATTTATGTTTAATGTGAGAAGGAGAAAATTACTAGAAAAACTAACGATGAGCAATAAAGAACACCAGGGATTTACGGGATTCGATCCGAGTGTCGGTACCTACTTCACAGGAAGGGCGAATCACATAATCTATTATGAATTTGGAGAATATAGAGCTTACAATTGCTCAAGTGTTTCACAGCCCTACATTACACTAAAAGCAAAACTCACAAGTGCTACCTCACAATCTCTTAAAGAGAACTCACTCGGAAAACTCACGAAGAAAATACCTTAGCATTCCTCTTGTTTTATTCTAGAATAATAATGTTTGTATCCAAAAGCTACTCTAACTAGGAAACCTACTTGAATCGGGTTTCTGTTTGTAGCTCCAATTCAAGACATATTTTCAACAGTATTCATCCACGTTTTTCTTTTCAGGATTCGAAGCATTAGCATGGATATGAAAGGATGTCACGCCCCGAGACAAGGCCGTGGCACTTGATCCCGGCTCTCGAGGGAGAAATCCCGAGCCCCTCCAGGTTAGGTCAAATGCCTTCCCTCAGTTTCCTAAGACTCCACAATAACCAGCTAACTGGTGAAATCTCGCCCAATTTTGCCAATCTGATCTCTCTCCGGAGAGTTTCTCTCGCACATAACAGATTGAAGGGAAAAATTCCTTCAAGTCTGGGAGCTCTCTCTGCACTGACAGTGTTATATCTTGATGACAACCTTTTATCTGGCATGATACCCCAGTCAATGGGTCAGTTATCTCAGCTTTTGATTCTAAACATTTCAAACAATATGATCCAAGGACCATTGCCTCAGGAGATGTCTTCCCTCTTTAATCTTCAAATAATCAATCTTTCATTCAACGAATTTAATTTCTCCTCCATCCCTCAGTGGTTATTGTGATTGCCGTCTCTTTCCCGAATTTATATGGCAGGATGTGGAATTCAAGGAGAAATTCCAGAGTCCTTGAAAATAATGCCTAGTTCAATACAGGAGCTGGATTTGTCAGTCAATCACCTGACAGGGAATTTGCCATCTTGGCTTGGAACACTAACTCAGCTCTACTTGTTGAATCTCTCCAGAAATTCACTAGTTTCAGATGTTCCAGAATCAATTACGAAGTTGAATGCTTTGGGTATCCTTGATCTCCACTTAAACAAGTTAACAGGCAACGTAGGTCAGGTGTTCCAAATGGAACACAGGTTTCCACAAGGTTCACTGACATATATTGATCTCTCTGATAATAGATTCACCGAAGGAATTGAACAGATAGGGATTGGAGAACAATGTGGAGTCCAGTTTCTAAATTTATCACACAACTATTTCTCGGGGAGACTACCGACAACTATAGGGACGTGTACATCCTTACAAAGCTTGGATTTGAGCGACAACAACTTGGGATTTAATCTGCCGGATGCTTTAGCAAATTTAAGCTCACTAGAGGTACTGAAGCTGCAAAGGAGCCGGTTCACTGGCAGCATACCAGAAGGATTTTTGAAGTTGAGTAAATTAAGGGACTTGAACTTGTCAGATTATCTTTTGGTGGGGCAAATTCCTGCTGGTAAACCTCTGACTGACTTCCTGAGAGCTCGTTCACTGGAAACAGACGATTGTGTGGGAAGCCCCCTAATCCATGTAAGCTTTGAGAATTTGTTTTCCATCTTTCTTCTTTCAGCAAGTAAAGCATTATAGAGAATGAGTATTCCACGTTTGAATCAGATCGCACATGAATATATACGTGTAATTGCTTTTATGTTAATCTGCACTAATTCTCAGAAGTCAGAACATTAAGTAGATAAGTTCTATTTCTCAGTCCATCACATGATGAACTCTATTTTCCTTTCTGTTTTGCTTCGTTACAACATATAATGAAAAACAAGAAGGATTTACAATTGAATCATGGGAGAAAACAGATCAGGAGGGTTACTAAAAAATAAGACTCTTATCTCCTTAGAACTTGTGATTTCCAAAAACTGAACATGTGCTCATGCATGCACGGAGCCACGGACATATTACTTGCACTTCCTCAGTGTTGACACCTAAATTTTGCCTATTCATTTAGGGTTTAATTGCATAAAAAATTAGGGATTGATTTTTAATCTCTAAACAAAAATATTTTCGTTAAATTACATGACATATAGATGTTAGGCGCATTTGCATTAGTAGAATTTAGTGAAACATATTTTCCTTTTATTTTATTTCATTTTTATTTTATGTAAAAAAATCATCATTATAAAAATTAAAAAAAAATGATAATAATAAAAAAGGAGAAAAAAAAAAGAAAAGAGAGAAAGACAAAAAAAAAAAGTGAACTCTAGTACGAAGGGGATCTCTTCCCTGGGCTGATACGAAGGGGTCTCTTTTCTCTCCCTCTCGGAACTCCACCCACACTTTCACAAAAGAAGCAAAAAGAAAGAAAAGACAAAAGGGGAGCTCTTCCCATGGACCAACAAGAAAGGGATTCACTTATCTCACGCTACAGAAGAGAGAATTGAGAGTGTACAGAGAGAGGTAATCTTTTTTTTCAGAGAAAAGAATGAGCGTGGGGTGGTCATCAAGAGAGAGGCATTTCACAGAAAAGACAAAATTTGAGAAGAGCAAGAGGAGAGATCGAGAAAGGAAAAGCCAAAGAAAAGACGAAAGAGAAACACTTCTCTCCGGAGGATGGAGATGAAAGCCTTTCTTTCTCTCTCTTTGGTCTCCATCCACGGAGACACGAAAAAGGAAACACGATAATCTGCACATGCAAAGGGGGAGTCAAGATAGAGTTTGACTAGAGAGAGAAGGGGGAGGATAAAGCTTGATGAGCAAGAGAGGAGGGAACAGAGAGTGAGAGGAGGAGAGTGAGAGAGACGAGAACCTCATCTGCTTGTCAAAGGCCCGCCGGAGCCCCTGTCGATCCTTCAGCCGTCACGCCTTACCCCGGTCCGCTGTGAACCAAGGGAGGTCTTTTTGGGGAAGCCATTGGAACCGAGAAGGAGAAATCGGGGAGAGAGTGAGCTCGAGAGAGTTTCGGAGAGCGACAGAGTTTCAAGAGAAAAAGGGGAGACCGAGAGAAAGTTGAGGCGAATCGGAGAGGCCCGAGCCTCGTTCGCTCGCTGGAGGACCGCCTGAACCGTCGCCGAGCCTCCCTCCCAGCCATCGCGCCTCACTCCGGCCGGCCGCGAACAGGTGGGCTTCTCTTCATCTTCCTCTATTTCGTGTCCACCTCCCCTGCCTCTCGGGTGCCGGGCACACCGAGCCTATTCGGTGGTCGCCCGGCACCACAAGATGAGGAAAATGTTTCTTTTCACCTCCAGGATGTGTTCTTGAACGTTTTCCATCAAGAAAAACCTTCGAATCCCACTGAAATCCACCTGGAAACCTTAGTTTTAGGCGCATCCCACTTGTTCGATGAAATGCCCGAATGAAAACCGAAACCGAAGTCACCGCATCGACCCGTAAAAATCTTAGATTCACGTTTGTTTGTTCTGAAGTTGATGTTTGGTGACTGATGCGGCGTTATTTTGTTCTTTTCTGTGACATATTTGTCGTATATCCGAGTGAGCCGTCGATGAAGCCTTCGCCGGAGATGCCCTTCCCGTCGTCGGAACGACGCCCGCGGTTTGGGGCCGCTCCCGTTAATCCACTATCTCTGTTGCTTGGTATGTGTGTTTGTTTGCTTAGATTTAGTGCGTTTCTTCGGGGCCGGAAGTGTGGTGGCTGGAAATCGAGTTTTTACTCGTCGATGTCGTTTCCGTGGTCGGAGTAAGTCGCCGGAACGTCAGCCGGTGGCGACGGCGTAAGGCCAGCATCCTCCATCCGCGCTGGCGGCTCAAGTCGACGGCCGGCGGTGGGACGTCTCCGGCATAGTCATGGTGGGGGTGAGTTTCGGTGAAGAACACCACGAAGAAGAAGAAGCCCAGGAGTAGAAGGACGTGCATGGGCAGAAAGCACGTATGGGATGAAGACCAGAATAATAACAAAATGGAAAAGAGAAAAAGAAACCCAAAAAAAAGAAAAGAAAAAAAGAAAAGAGGGGAAATAGAAAAAAATTTCAGAAAAAAAATGAAAATGGAGTCCCGGGTGGGTCGGAATGCCGGGTCA